CTGCACCAAATTATAAATGTTAAAAACGATGCAAGAATGCACTTTAGCACGAAAACACCGTTAACACGGGATAGGGAATATAACAACCGACTTCGACGCAGCTGCAAGAAAAAACCGCAGACCTGCGGAAAACCAATAAAAACCCATAACACCAACGCAATGCATTGCCGCGCAACCCTGAATGCACCCACCGGCCATAAAGGGCCCCAGGATAAGAATAAAATTATTATAACTCGAATTGGAGCACGCACAGACGAAAGAAGGCCCTAAACAAACATTAGAATTCCACGCACACGACGAGCGAAAAACAGCTAGACTATACCAAACCTTATAATGAACAAAACGCACATAAGGAATATGCAAGCTCCGCCCGCGCCGTACTGGATTGCAGCACGCGGCAGCCGAGCAAGCCATAAGGGTATCGCGACCCCCGCAACAAGACAACGCGTCCTAATTAAAGAAAATCTAATCAACAACGAAGCAAATCACTAATTAGAAGATCGGCACACTCCAGAGAATTTCGTAATAGCACGTGGACAAAATCATCCCCTTACCGCGAGGGGCCACGAAGCAAAACGTATATAAAGCAGAGCGTTTTAAGACACGCGTCCTTATTTCTCTCCTCGCAATTCTTCCTGTCGATAAATCCAACGGTAAGTCTTCCCAGCGCTTTAACTAGCGCTCCGGAACTTTCCGCATCTCCCAGGAATCCAGCTCCGATCGTGCGCTTTCACGGCGTCTGAAGGGCTACTCCCATCCCCAGCTCCGACGGCGCTGACCCAAACCGACGCCGAAGCTCGCCTCCTGCGGAGCTCAAAACGAGCGCCTTTCACGGCGTCGAGGTCTCCGCACTCCTCCCCTTTTTTTTTCACCCTCTATTCTATACGTTTTTTCTGCACGTAAATGCCGCAGAAGAAACGTCCGAGGGGGAAACGTGGAGGGTGGCGCGTCCACTTGAAGGAGCTACAGCGGGCGCTCCTCGCAGAGGGGACCTTTGACCCCTCCATTTATTGGAAGGAACATAGCTCGAGTCCCGAGGAGGTCACAACCGAACCAACAAATCCTCCGGCGCATACCGCAGCAACCGGGGTCCCTACGGACGGGCCCAGAACCCAAGAAACCGAAACACCCGCGCCACCACCACCGTGACCCGCGCCACCGCGATCCCCATCTTATATCGCGCCCGTCCGCAAGCCTACGAGGCCAGTGCTGATCTCCAGCAAACCTCGCGTTACTAATAACACCCCGTGTAATATAAATATAAAAATAGTTAACCCTTATCTTTCGTTTTTTTTCTTTACCCTTAAGGGGATGCTGGAGTGTCCTGTTTTACCATCAATTTTTAAAGACTCTTTTCTCTTAATTGTGTTTATGGATTGAAAAGTCCTTCTCCACAATCAAAGTATTGACAACAACACAGGCTGCCAGCTACAATGTAA